TAATAAAAATGACCGAGATTTTCTTGACTCTCTTAAAAGGAGGGGGCAATCTTGTGGTTCTGGGCATTAAGAATATGAGTGACTTAAATACATTCCATGCCACAGAGAGACAGATGAAATTTACAGACTACCTTGAAAGCTTCTAACAGATGCATTACATCTTTGGAAGTCAGATTTGAATTATTAAGGCGCCCTTTGTAGATGGAGTGTCTACTGAGCAGGCGCTATGGAGCGGGGGAGCATTCATATTTGCAGTGGGCACTGTTTTAATGGATATCAAAACTCCACTGACCTTTGTGAACTATTAACAGGGACTAGACCCAGATGGCTTCAGTTGGAGAGGGCGTGGCTAGCAGGAGTCTAGTCATCCATTTGTTCAAATGTGTTTCTGGGGAAACAGATCATCTTGAAGCAGACCATTTTCCTTCCTACTGAATGTAACGCTTGGAAAACAAAACCCTCTGTAAATGTTTTCCATTTGAAATTAGGACTGTTGCTGCCGGATTTGTTTTTCCTCCTCTTTCCCTCCGATGCTGTTAAGTAAATTATAGCAATGTGAAATTGTTGCAAAATTGACTAACACAACTAAGAACACCCGTGTCCTTAAAAGCAAGTAATCATTGCTGTTAAGGAGGCCGGAGGAGTAATGGGTTTAGCTTTGGGCTGCCAAGTGCAAGGCCCGAGTTTAAACCCTCCAGCCATTCTGTCAGAGGAAGAGGAGAGTGCACCCCTAAGAAGTTGCAGTCACTCAGACTCTACGGGATGGTATTACTCCACCTCATAACAATAGTAGTCAACTGAACATGTTTGTTTGTTGTACGCCTAAGATAAATGTATGTAGATTAATAACAGTGAATGTTTGCAGAACAGCCCCTATGCTTCAGTTTTAACCCCCCCCCCCAATTAAAATGGATTTCAATGTTTTGTAACCCTAGGTATATATAGTATACAGTGAACCCTCGCCACTTCCCGCTTCGACTTCCGCGGCTTCACTCTATCGCGGTTTTTGCGTAACAGCGCATGCTCTGTCATTACTGCCACTGATTGGCTCATACTGTACACGTTTGATGCCATAAATAATATAATAAATAATAAATGATCATTGTAACATCCAAAATGTTTTACTGTATTTTCCCTTTTTCGTTTAATAAATTGGGTAATACGAGTGTAATGGTGACTAAAGGGTGTTTTTTCATGTCCTCTATGCGCTATGAAAATATTTGATTTACAAATAAGGAATCCTACTTCGCGGAATTTCATTTATCACGGTAGGGTCTAGAACCGATTAACCGCGATAAACGAGGGTTCACTGTAATAGTAATTCACTGGAAGCTTGTAATTCTGCTCTCTGAGCTGATGTAAGATGAATAAATTCTTGCAGAAGAGTGTAGTACTTCTGCAATATTATGCTGTCTGGTTTATATCCGTGCTTCTCCTCATCGGACATCCTCCAATAAAGCAGCTCTTTTTCTTTTTCAAGGAGGATCAATCCCATTTTCCCCACTCCCTAGAATTATCTACTGGCTTTAAATCAATATTTGAAAAGTATTATTCATATTATTTTTAAGGAAAGCTCTGCCTTTTGTGATGCCACTAAGGAGGGACATTGGTGGCACCGTGGTTAAGGAGCTCGGCTGCTTACATGAAAGGTCAGCAGCGGCCTGAGCCACCTGCTCCTGTGAGCTCGCAGCCTGGGAGACCCCGGGCAGCTCTCCTCTGCTCTGTCGAACCAGCCAGGTGAGCACAGGATCGGCTTAGGCAGGTGTCAAGATGCACTCTTCACTTAGTTGGGATGGCAGAGGTTAGCAGCTCAGATTCCTTTGCAATTGCTACATCTCCTACACAGTGGTTCTCTACATGTGGGTTGCGACCCCTCTGGGGGTTAAATGACCCTTTCACAGGGGTCACCCGATTCCTAACAGTAGCAAAATTACAGTGATGAAGTAGCAACAAAAATAATTTTATGGTTGGGGGCAGTTTTCACCACAACATGAGGAACTATGAAAGGGTCGCGGCCTTTAGGAAGGTTGAAAGCCACTGTCCTAGAGGAACTGGCATATTTAGACTATCGTTCCCCAAGTGAGCTGAATGTCAGGAAGTGAATGGAGCAGTATGTCACTCAACAGAGCTTTTACAGACTTAAAATCCAAGCAAAATATCCCGGAAAGGCCTTCGTGACAAAGGCTTTTTTGTTTATCAGTATCAGAAATTTTACCTACCCTGTCACTGAAAATGCAGTAAAGTTACACTTTGTAGGGTGTGCAGTTGATGAATTTTAACCTGTATATAGATTTGATGCCTCCTATGCGAGAGGTAGTTGGACCTTGAACAAGGAAGGCCACAAGGGAATTGATACATTTGAATTACAGTGCTGGCAGGGAATATTGAAAGTACCCTGACTGCCAGAGCCAACACATCTCTGTTGGACGAAGTACAGCCAGAGTGCCAGAGTGCTCCTGAGAACCAAGGGTGGGAGACTTCCTGAGATTGTGCAGAATGGAGCGGTATTTCCTTCTGTTGTGCGTGTACATAGGTGCTCTTGAGTGAAAACAGCCTCCGTGGTACTGCATAGATGCATAGATAGATGCATGTAACTGCTAGTCAGACCCAGAACCTCCCACATGCTGTCGTTCAATTGTTGTACCCTCTGTCTCCTTCCTGCCACACACCCCCGCTCCCCCCTCCCCCCCCAGCAACCACTGTTAACTGTAGTCTTGTCTTTTTAAGAATGGCCTAGAAATGGGATCATATTCAGCATAGCACCTATGACACGCATCTAAATTATTTTGTGTATCCGTAATTCATGTCTTTGTATTGCTGGTAGCATTTAATTATATGGCTGTACCAGAGTTTGTTTATCCATGTATTCATTGAAGGACATTTGCATTGTTTCCAGTTTTTATGAATAGAGTTGCTATAAATATGAATTAAGCTTTGGTGTGAACATAAATTTTCCTTTGGGTAAATTCTGAGGAGTGGGATTGCTATATCTTATGATAAGTGTGTGTTTAACTTTATAGGAAACTGCCAAATTGTTTTCTAAAACAGTTGTTCTGTTTTGTCCTCTCACAATGTGAGAGTTACATTAGTCTTGCACTTGCTTGCTATGATCTGCCTTTCAAACTTAGCCATTTTAATACATTTATAGTAGCATCTGATAGTGATTTTAATTTGCATTTTTCTAATAGCTAACGATGTTGAACATCTTTTAGTGTTCTTTTTATTTTTTTGGCTTTCAATCTTCTTTAGTAAATTGTTCAGTTTAGCCTATTTTTCTTTCTTTAAAAAAATAATTTTATTAGGAGCTCATACAACTCTTATCACAATCCATACATACATCAATTGTGTAAAGCACATTTGTACATTCATTGCCCTCATCATTCTCGAAACATTTGCTCTCCACTTAAGCCCCTGGCATCGGGTCCTCATTTTTCCCCCCTCCCTCACCATTCCCCCCTCCCTCATGAGCCCTTGATAATTTATAAATTATTATTTTGTCATATCTTACCCTGTCTGATATCTCCCTTCACTCCCTTTTCTGTTGTCTGTCCTCCAGGGAGGAGGTCACATGTAGATCCTTGTAATTGGTTCCCCCTTTCCAATCCACTTTTTATTTTGTAAAGAAAACTTTCTATTTTAGAGTCATAGAAAAGTTTCAAATATATTATGCAGAGTTGCATATATCCCTTGCCCATCTTCCCATAGTGCATTTACCAAAACCAGGAAATAAAGAGTAGACCCTTGCTATCAGCCAAACTACAGACTTTATTCAGATGTTGCAGTTGTTCTGTCTGTTGAAATGATCAAAAGTGGGATTCCCTGTTGAGTTTAACTATTAGTCAGCCTTAGTACCGACTAGTCTGGTAATTTCTCATTCTTTTCTTGTTTTGTTAATTTTTTTTCTTTCCCTGTTTTTCATTACTTCAATTGTCTTGTTTTTAGTAGGAAAGGCATATTTTTTTGCTAAGAGCTAGGTATTAAGATCTCCAATAAAAATATAGAATTATTTTTCATTCTGTTGTTTCCACTTCTATTTGTAAAAAGCACATGCATTTATCTATATCTTTTGGTTACTGAAAAAAATTGACTTTGTGTGTATCCATTTATATCTTTGTGTCTCTTTTTAATTTATTTTCTTCCCAGCCTCTCCATAACCTTCAAAGTATGCTTCTTTTGGTGTGAAAACCATTTTTCTTGATATTATTTTCCTAATAGTGGCCTTACACAATATTTGTCTTTATGAGACAATACTACTTTGATCATTTTAAGCAGTATGGCCACATATTTTGTAGCATTCATCAAATTTAGTTTGTCTTATGCTTTTCTTATCATTAGACTTAGGTTGTGAGTTTGGGGGAAGAATATCATAGAAGAGAAGCGCTTCTCTTAGCACACAATAGCATCATCATTTGGTTATAGTAGTGTTTGCCATGTGTCTTCGGTAAAGTTAGTGTTTTTCTCTTTACACACACTGTGAGTTGACAAGTCCAGCCCACACACTAAAGGGTAAGTCCCAAACCCACTATCGACTCTATTCTGATTCATAGCGCCTTCACTCACAGTTCCAGTTGTTTCTGTGGGGCTCAGCTGATGGGTCAAGTTAAGGGGTTTCACTCTAAGTTGTCTGTGGTGTTTGTGGTCCAAAGGATGATCTAAGTAAGGCCTTCTCCACTGCGATTAAAGAGGTTCATCTTCCCAGGGTCATAGGAGGACTTGCTTTTTCAGAAAGAAATGATATGCAGGAATGCCAATGTGTTATTCTTGCCGTAAATGGGAGAGCCTCCTGGGATCCTCAGGGTCTGTGGAATCTGATGGAGTATAAGAAAACCTTTCTTGTCCTTGACCTCCAGGAGGACTGCTGGGAGAGATGACTTTGGACCCCATCCTCATCACTACCTTGTTTAGCTGTATTCTCTTGCAGAGGCTGATGGAAGTATACATACCCCATCTTGCCTAGCACCAGGACTTGACTTAGAGAGGTTGTTCATTTGATTCTCTAGGAATTTGCCAAGAAACTGAACTGATTCAAATATATTTTGCGTGGGACACCAGAGATGTACTGGAGTTGAGATTCCTTCATTTGATTAAGGTAAGATTGCTTAATATTCATTCTCAGATTTGTATTCTAATGTGCTTTTTAAAAAAAACATTTTAATTTTCAGTCTATCCTGAGATACTGACCTCTGAAAATATGGCCTTTTTTTTTACCCTTTGAATTAATGTTTCACATAACAGCGTCCAGATGCCGTGCTTCTCAAGATCGCCTTGCCAGAAGAAAAATGCTTATATTTTAAACATGCATGTAAATTAGGATTTTCAAGCAATGCTAAATAATGGAATTTCTGTTCTAGGAACCAAAATCTGATGTTAAAAAAGTTGGTTTTGCTATAGCCAGGTAATCTTAATCAAGTAAAGCATGTTTGGGAATTTTCATTGTATAAAGCCCAGTCTGGTTTTAAAAAGAGCCCCTTTTATGTGATGTGTAACCTGAGATATGCTTACTAAGACCCTTGTGTGAGATGTGTCTCTTTGCTTGCATTTTTATAAAATGAATTTAATGATTTTCCTCTTTTATTAAAAAAAGAGAGAGAGAAAAGTGGACATCTTTCCAGAAGAAAAGTGCTTTGCGTCTTCTCACAGTGCACCACCATGCTGTGGGTTAGATTGTTTCAGTAGTGGCAGCAATGAGAAGGGGAAAAGGCAGACACTCTCTTTCCTTACCAGTTGTATTTTATCATTCCCATTTGGAAAGTTTTTACTTCTGAATATTTCTTAGTTTAATGGCAGAAATGCCTACAACCTGTCTTTACTAAAAGTAGTCAGGCAGTGGTCAGATTTTCTTCTTCATTTTCTCTTTCTTTTGTCTTTTAGTAACAGGCTGACATTGACATTATCTGCCCTTTACGATGTGAGGGACTGTAGTTCAAAGGCAATTGATGCCTATTTTGTGTATGAAATATAGATCACTGCAATGTCATTCTATTAGTATTCACTGTGTGAATGTGATATATTTTGGTGGTATAAATGTGAAGTACCTTTGAAACAAATAGAGTTTGAGAAAATAATAGTTCGTATCTGAAAATTTTATCTCCCAAATTACTGTTTTTATATATATGAGCTAGGTACCAATCTTCCTAAATGTTAAGCTGTCTACCCAGTCCTCATGCCTTGTATATTTAAATCAGTCTGGATTTAAAATTAAAGTGCTTGTGCATTTGAATTATGGAAGGTAGATAAGATTAACTGCAGAGAAACTGACAAGAATTTTCATAGCCTCCATGAATTAGTGGGGCCAACTTAGCACTATGTTTTGCAGAAATAAACAGAGAAAAGATTGAATTTGTCAAGGATTTTGTCTTACTTGGACCTATGGTCAATGTTCATGGAAGCAACAGTCGAGACCAAATGACACATTGCATTGGGAAAACCTGCTTGCTGCACAAGACCTCTTTAAAATGTTGAAACTTTGAGGACTAAGGTGTGCCTGACCTAAGTCATGGTATTTTCAATTATCTCATACACATATGAAAATTGGATATTAAATAAGAAAGATCAAAGAAGAATCCATGCATCTGAATTATGGTGCTGGCGAAGAATAATAAAAGTACCATGGACTGTCCAAAGAACAAACCAATCTGTCTTGGTAAAAATGTAGCCAGAATGCTCCTTAGAGGCAAGGATGGTGAGGCTTCATCTCACATACCTTGTTGTCAGGAGAGAGCCAGGCCCTAGGGCAGAGCATCATGCTTGGAAAACAGAGGGGCAGTGAAACAGAAGGCCCTCAAGGAGCTGGATTGACAGCATGGCTGCACCCGTGGACACAAACACAGCAGCTGTGAGGACAGTGCAGAGCTGGGTTGTGCTTCGTTCTGTTGCACATTGGGCGGCTCAGGGTTAAAGTGGACTCAACAGCACCTCACCGGAACTTGTTTTCCACTGGTCCAGACCCAGCTGGGCTTGGAGAACAACAGAAAGATCCATAGACTGACTTATGAATAAGAGTTTACTTTTAAACTACAAGTGCTATTGGTAAGTACTGCTAAAGCTTTGGTTTCTACCAATATCACACCGTCAGCTCTGTCTTTCTTTTCTCCAGCACACTCTTTAAATGTTTATTTTATTTTTAGTGTAGAAAGAAAACATGCTTACTAAATAAAAGTGATCCATGGTCTAGCCACACAAAAATGACCATCGGTAACTTACTTATTTCTTAAATGTAACTTATTATTATTATTATTAATTGGGATTAATACATACATCAAATAATTCCATAGTTCAGTCACATCCAGCAGAATTGTATGTTCACTACCACAATGAGTTTCCAAACATTCCTTTTGTATATTGACATCTTCGCCCCTTCACCACGCCACCACCTCTGTTTCCCCCTCCCCCCAAAAACCTTGATTCCCCTTGCTGACTCTATAGGTTCATCAGTCCTGGGACTCTACCTCAGACACACATAGGACTTGAGGACTTAAGCTGGAAAGCACAAGGGGTCTGAGGAAGCAGAAGACAGCTGTGCCAATTTTGGAGAGCTGTTGGTAGGCAGACAAATGAGGTCTTGCTACTTCAGTGCCTTCTGTGTTGTATTATGTATTATTCTGGAAAACCTGTGATGATCATTCTGATGTATTTGGGTTTTGTTTGTTCATATCAGGGTATATCTCAGAGATGCTGTGGAGTGGGGGATTACCCTCTTGAAGATGTGAAATGAGTTTTGCTGATTTTCGGTAAATGAAGTCCTTGTAGGTTTACCAATCCTATACGGATGGCAAGTAGAACAAGGGTGCTGGGAGGAGGTCCATTCTGCTTGATGAGATTGAACGATGCAATTTATGTTTCACTTGTGGTATTTAAAAGCAAATTCAACCTCTAAAGAAAATTCACTTTATTTGATACTTTTCTTCCATATAACCTTAAATTCAATTTTTCTAGGTAATACAATATTTCATTTAAAAATTTAAATACTGAGCCGCTGCTGGCTTGACAGTATCATTGAAATGAGATATATGTGTGTTGAAGGCATGGCCAGAATTTCTTCCTTCAATTGAAGGTGCTGCTTGCCTTTGTGGCTGGGATACACTTCTCTAGAACTTTCTCTGCTCATGTCTTCGAAAGTATTCAGGCTAATAAAGAACTTCAATTTTTAACATGTAGATCCTAATCAATGTCATTGTACAGCCTTAAGGGTCTTGAACCAAAAAACAATCCTGCTACTGGTAAGTCAGTTCCTACAAGAGAACTGGCTTCCTAGGGTTTCCGAAAACTGTAACTCGTTACGGAATCAGATTGCCACATCTTTCTCTCATCAGTGGTAGGCAGGTTTGAACCACTGACCTTGGTAGATGGCAGCCGAGTGCTTAAACACTGTGCCACCAAGTCTCCTTTAAGGTAGTACAGACATTAATATGGAAGTCAACTTCCAAGCTTTATCCTCAAAAGAGATCATGTAAAAGTACATTAAGTACATATTACTTTAATCGCCCACAAGGGAAATTTGGTG